TCCTTTGCCATCTAAGCCCTGTGTTCCAGCTATTCCCATTGCAATCCTTGGAAACAAAAGTCAGGAGAAAACTGTGATCAGACACTGATTACACTGATATTGGATATTGGATCCCAGCTGCAATATTACTGCGTATCTAAGGAAGCAAAAACCAAGCTTGTCACTTCAGCAGTGATGCCAAGAACCAGCTCAGCCCCACTATTTCTGGTTCTGGGCCTGATGATGGATGGCTGTGTTTATTAAATGTATAAGCCTTGCCTCTTGTCTACTGCACAAACACTGCAGCAGCCCCTTTTGCATCAAAGGGACCACAAAGTATGCGTGTGTTAATATCTTTTCTGTTGACAGGGGAAACCAAAAGGTTGACAATAACTTGGTTTTAGTTGAAGAGATGCAGAGCATAAGCGAGTACTACAGCAGACATACCTCCACCACAAAGACCACTGCTTCGTGAGTGTGACAGCTCCTCCAGGGGTACTTGGTGAGCAAGATGTATTTCTTATGAGCAGCAGCCTTTTTCTGAAGATAATTCTCCCTCTCTCTCCCTTCGTCTTCACTCCATCCATGGGAGGAGCGAGTCCACAGTTTCCAGTCTTGGAGCTTTGCCACCCAATAACAAGCCCCCAGAAACTAGAGGAACATGAAGATTCAGCAGGCCATATGGCTGCCTGAAGATTATTTTCTCCTCAACTCCTAAAAGGAAAGAGGAAGTACTGACTTATTTCCCTCATCACCTGCACCCAGGATCCCTTCTTAACTGAGCATTTTAGAACAATAGTTCTGAGTTTATGAAGCGTTCGAATTTAGCCATTCCATGAACCCACTGGGAGTCTCTGTAAGGATCTGCCTTTTGCTAATGAGAGTCTATTGGAATGAGAAGAGCAGGTGAACTCTCCAGAGATCGTACAAAAGAGGATTCTCTTTCTGAGAAGCTGAGGAAACTTGGCAAAAGCAGACTGGAAAAAACAATGACATATCTTTAAATGTCACAGACCCGCAATGCAATTTGACCTGGCGACCGGCTCATACTAACAAATCACTGATCAAACGTTCTACATCTGGGGACTTTAAATACCCTTTGTGGTTCGGAAGGGGTTTAAGTGTTTACCAGATACCTACAAAATAAAGACGGGTAAAGGAAGAGAGCTCAGAGGAACACAGCAGAATGATAAAGAGCTAAAACAATGCTTCATGCAATCCTCATTTGCCTTGACAGGCACTTTTTCCACAAGCACCCCCAGGACAAGTGCTTGTGCATGTGAGAAGTGTGACCTGCCATTACAACATGCCAGGTTCTTGGGACAATCTGGGACCCTTAGCCTTGATCGTGTTCAAGTGAGGAGCAATGGGACAGCAAAGAAAGGGTTTAGAAGAATAAAAATAACCAACCTGTCCAGTTACATGCAATTTTAATAAGTGCCCTCCATAAGTAGCAAGTCTGAAAGGAATCCACTGTCCCTCAGGATGAATGAGCTGCAGAGAAAGCCGTGGGGCCGGGGATTGAATTCCTTTTGGAACAACAGTGCTTCTGACAGGCAGAGCCAAAGGAGGAGAGAGCACCTGGGAAAATGCAAATCTCTACTGGATGTCCCCTGCTGCAGTGCTTACACTTTGCTCCTGACGGCCATGCTGGGTAGCAAAATGTCCCACCTGAGTTAACTGAAGTGAGGCAAAGACCTAAGGGCAGGTTTCTGGAGGTCTCCTTTGGTAGGAAATTCCAAAAATGCCAGTCTGCTGCCACAATCTTGACCCTTTGAAAGTCAAAACACCGTGTTTTCTGGTATACCCCCACCCCCCACCCAAAATAAGACATGGACTTTATTGTAGGAAGGCAGAATGTAGAAAAAAGAAAAGATGCATGTGGTATGTGAGTAAATACAGTAGTCGGCTCATCTGAAATAGATCTATGTGCTCTAGGAAGGGGATAGCAGCATCCAGAGAGTTCACTCATTCCAAAATGTCAGAACACTTCATGACAGCCTGACCCAGCAGCATGGGCAGCGGCTGGCTGGGGAGCAGGCTTCCTGCGTCCTCTCAGGGGCACGGGTAGGCCCTGAGCTGGGCAGCCACCACCGCACCCCCTCTGTGCAGGACCCGAGGCTGCAGGCACACAACCAGCTGTGGGTTGGCTGGGACCAGGGGTTTGTTCTGCCCCCCTCATCTCCAGCTGTCACTGGTGTGGCAGCACTGCACTGCTCTGGGTGCGGTGAGAGAGGAAGCTTCAGCTCTGCACCTTCTGCCCAGCACGTGCAGCTCTGGCTCCAGCCCCCGGACACCTTCCACCTTCTGCCTTCCAAGATGTCTAGGGGTGGAGTCCAAGCTCCATGTGCTGGGCAGGACCCGCGGGGCTGAAGCTTCCTCCCCACCACCCAGAGCAGTGCAGCATGGCTGCAGCAGCAACAACTGCAGGTGAGGGGGACAGAACAGCTCCCCCTCAGCCCTGGCCAGCCCACAGCTGGTTGTTTGCCTGCAGCCCCAGATGCTGCACAGGACAGGGGGGCAGTGGCAGCTGCCGGGCTCGGGGCCCGCTGGCACTTCCGAGCTGGCCCAGGAAGCTCGCTCCCCAGCCAGCCCCCACCTGTGGTGCTGGGCCAGGCTGTCATGCAGCCAGCGGCAGGCTGGGAAGGGCCCTGACCCCATGGGGCAGCCCTGTGGGGCCCTTCCCAGCCAGCTGGGGCTCCATGGCAGCCCCAGTCCAAACTACAGCCTGCTGCAAAGTGTCCGGCCCTGGTGGCCCAGCCCAGCCTGGTCCCTCTGCCCTCAGCAGCACCCACAGGCCAGCTGGGCTCAGCCCTGCAGACCCAGCTGCTGGCGATGCAGGTGGATGGCAGGGGCCATTCCAGCCAGCTCTGGCCATGCTCCCTCCCCTGCTGCTGGCGTGGGGAGGTAGGGAATGGGAATGGCTGACAGGGGCCACAGCCCCTCGGTAGGGAAGGGGGAATAAACCCCCTCCCTCCTCCCTTTGCCTCAGGGGGCCGTGTGTCTGGCTACACCCCTGCCCCTGCTCTCTGGAGCAGACAGCACAGCCCAGCCCAGGGCTGCAAAGCATGCTGGGATGCTGGGGGACTCCGATTTAACTTAAATTGGGAAGGGGTCTGGGCCAGAAGTTGCATAAGCCTGTTTGACCCAAATCAGCTAAGTCTGATGCCACATTCAATGAGGTCTATCTTAAATCAGCTTTGGCCATTTGAAACTGGTTTGTGTGCACAGAATTTGTGTTCCGTTACAGATTTAAACCAGTGTCTGGTCCCTTAAATTGGTTTATATGTAACTTCTGTCCCTAGCCCTGAAGGACTGAACCTGTTTGGTGTTGGGAGTGCGTAGGTCTTTAATGCTTTTCAGCTTTGCAGTTTCTGGCTTTACAGGACTGTTCCTTAGCTTATGGCCCTGATAAACTCTCATCCTCACTTGATACCTTTCCATCTTTGCAGTCATTTCTAAAAAAAAAAAATCTCAAAAGCAATTGAGCACCCTCTGCCTCTGGGAACCGCCCAAGTTACTAGCTAGCTACTAGCTGGTATCTAGTAACCCTCAATAAAGTACAGCTCTTTCTTCAGGCGGCATATATGGCTCCTTATCTTTCTTCTTCCTCATCCATATATGAAGACCAGACTCAAAGGGTTCATGATTGCCCCCCAGATTCTTGTTTTTACTTTTTTGTTTCTGACAAGTCAGAAAAATTGGTTTGAGTCAGGCCCCTTTAAGCTAAGCCCACAGGCGAGTAGAAATAGTGAGTGGTTAACATCTCAGTGTCAGTGGTGAGATTGTTCTTGTAAGAGACTTTCTGAGTAAAGCCTCAGGTAATGTTAGCAAGGACCATTATGTTAATGACTGCAGCACCGTTTGTATCTGCAAAGCTGTTCTACAATCAAATCTCAGCAAATATTTGTTCCTCTTTACTCAATTTGTTAATGTATCAGAGGATCCTTATCTGAACCGGCTTTTTTGCCTTATTTCTCTTCCAAAGTGCAGTTAGGTGCTAATGGTTTTGGAAATTCCATGTTCTACCCCAGAAGTGACAACATTTCAGTGATTATAGCACAGGGCAAAACTGGACCTTATTTGGGGTATATTCAATAGATGAGGACTAAAGGGAGAGAAACGGGAGCAGAAGAATATGTAGGAAGTTCTTCCTACCATTCTTGTAGGGCATCTATGGGGCTTCAGGGCAGGTGTCTGTCTTTGGGCACTCTAAAGCACTAGGGCTTCGGGGTGGTGGTGGGGGGGGGGGGTTTGGCTAACACACTCAGGGTGCTCCATCCTCCTAAGGGGCACCGTCTACTTATTCAAGGGTTCAAAGTAGTGTTCCAAGCCTAATGCAGCAGCTGTAAGAGAGAAACCATACTGTTCCCCTGTATAACAGCAGGAAGGTGTGCTGCAACGAACACTGACCCTGTAATCCCACTTCTCTGCCACACAGAGCAACTCTGGATTAGCACAACTGAAGGCTGAGTTGGCCCCTCTGTGTGAACAAAATAGCCAATAGGCATAACTATGCCATCTCCCAAGTCAGGGACCACAATCCTCTGAACAAAATTGTGATGCAAAACAACGGATGTTCATGTATCAGTCAGCAAGAGGTGAAACGTTAAATGTCTGTGTTGTTGCTAATAAAAATCATCAACAATGAGTTGGCTTTGAGAGGAAGTTGGGTGAATCCCTGTTTTTCTAACAGTCACTCTAGCAATGCCCATGTTAGCAACAAAGCCGTGGACAGAGGTTCTCTCAAAAGGTAGCCACAAGTGAATTTATTTACACCAGAAACAGCAAGTTACCATATATACCAACACTTAATTCATGATAATGCCTTTGGCTTAGGGACTGACCATATCTCCTATCGGCTAAGAAGTACTATGCAGTAGATATTTACACTGAAATCCATGTCTATTGATGAAACGTGTTGCGCGTTCTGCATTTTTATTTCATGATGTGAATGGGGGTGGGGGGGTGTTCAGCATTATGAATGGAGATACAGAACATGTGAAACAGCTTTGCTTTTGCAAATATTTTATTGAAAATATACAACGTGAAACAAACCCAACAATGTAAAAAGGTCCATTTGTTGCAATAAGAGCCAATTTTCAAAGCTTTTGTATTATTTTGATCTGACAGGTATAACAACAGAGAAAAGCGCAGCAGTGATAATGTAACACTGCTGGTAGCCTTCACCATGTGCAAGTCAGCCAGATGTGTACTAAGTAACCAGTAGCAAACAACATTGACTACCTGGAACATGGAGAACTATATTTTTGACTCCAGTAGTTTCTTCCTCAGTTCCTGCTGCAAAAGAAAACTTTCTAGGATTGTTTCTTATCAAGCATATAGATGCTGTGCTGCTACAATTATCCAAAAGTGCTCTTCCTGTTAGTTTCCCCATCAGTTCACTTTAAGCTGAAAAAAAAAAATCAAATGCATAGTGGCAAACATGAGGATACTTTTTAGAGATCCCTGAAGAGTAGGAATTGCCTATTAGAAGTGGTTGGTAGTACAAGACTTGAATGTACTTTGTAGGGCTGTGCAAAATTTCACTAGCCATTTCATTTCGACCAATCTCGAGGTTGAAACAGTAAAATCGGAACAAAACAAAGGCCATCGAAATAAAATGAGGGTAGTTGAAAATTTTCAAAAGTCAAAACATTTCGACCACAGGCTGGGGATGGAAAGTCAGTCCAGCTGGGCTGACTTCCCATCCCCGGTGCAAGATCCAGCAGGGGATGGGGACCATGTTTCAGACTGACCAGTGTTTTATATTTTGCAAAGGATGTGAAAGGCAGCAAGAGGCATAATTTCTCTGCCCTGGGTGGCTGTGATTGGTGGGGTAGTGGTGGTGGCTGGGCTGGCAGTGGCCACCATCCTTGTGCTCCTTCTCAAATCAGCACCCACTGCTGGTGCCCCGCTTACCCATCCCTATTTGTCCTCCTGTAAGGCATTAACTATTATAGATGCATTTTTCCAGACACATATTTACATAGTTTGGTTGTGCAATTCAATCTGAAATACACATTAAACACTCAAAAAGCCTATTACAGAGTTGCAGTATAACATGTCCCTGCATGGCTGGCTAGCTAATAATGAGCCACTCCAATAAGAAAATGAAGATTTTCACTCTTTCCTAACTGAATACACAGGCATCTTTCTCCTTGTGTTGGCCAGATACTTGCAGAGGCATTCAATCAGCCTTTTTCCTAGAGAGACTACTTGTCACCAGCTCAAAGGACAGATGGTTTCATCTCTTCCTCACACCTACTAAATGAGCTCTTGCAATACTGCATTTCCTGCAAACGAAACCTTCCGTAACTTTTCCTCTTAGAAGGGAAAAAATTGCCTTCAAAAGCTGCCAGAACAGATTTTCTCCCCTGTGCTCTCTCTTCTATATCACTTCATGATTAAACCACAGAGGTAGCAAAAGTTTTCATAAATGGCTGGGATACCTGTGGTCTGGCACTCAGAAGTGCCGAGCTTCCCCAGCTACAAACAGAAGGGAGCCTGGGGGAGCCCTAATACCTTTGAAGTGTGCCCTGCTCTAAACTTGAAAAGTAGCATTGAGGGGAAAAGTGCCCTGCCCCTTTAAAAACCAAGTCCAAGAGCACTTTCTTCAGTAAAATGCAAAATAAAAGCCTGACTCCACTGGTTTTTACCCTCTCCCTTCCTAAAGACTGGGAAGCTCAAACCTCAGGCAAGTCCCAGATCTTGAGTCTGCCCTTATCTGCTTATCTCCTTACACCTCACTTACATCCTCAAACTTCCTGCAGCACCCCTCTAACTGCATCACTAATCAAAACAGCGGACGAATCCTAGCCTTCCTGCTAGTACCTGAAGCAAGACCAGTAACATAGGTTATAGGGGCAACTTCATTTCTGTGGAACTTTGACTGACTTACATGGAATGGCATCAAGTATGAGTCTGGCACTCGAATATATGTTTCCATGTCAGAAAGGTTTTGAATAATATTGCCATGCAAATTCTCTCTTGTTGAATGTTTAGCCCCTCTTACCTCCTCTAGATATTTTGTTGCAAATGCTGAATTTCATGGATACATGCATCCATTTATATATCTATGTTTTTATAAAGCTGGACATAGCCATGTTAGTTGGAAATTAACTAGAAGGCAGGATTATGCAGTGTGTGGGTGGGGGGGGTGTCGCAAGCTTTCTTGAGCTGAAGAACCTGATTAAGTGAGCTCAACTCATGAAAGCTTGTGCTATAGATTGAGCAATCTACAGCTACACTTACACCTGCACCTATGTACACACTTTGGTTAGCTGAGGCTGCAAGTCTACCCTGCCTTCTTTATAAAGATGCCCAAGACCTTAGTAAGCTTGTACCTCCCAATGACCACAACAGGATCTCTCATGCTCCCTCACTTCCTGTGTTTGAGGCATGTGCATGCTGCTAATCCAAAGAGCAAGACTACGTATATATTGTGAAAGTGAAATATACACTTTAGGAATTAATACCACCAGCCCCAGTACACACTTATTTGCACAGATGCACAAATTTGTCTAAACCTTCTATAAACAAAATAGTTCTGAAATCGTGGATTATAAGATTGATCAAGATAAGAAAAATAGCATAGGAAAAAATGGGTTTTTTAAAGAATAAAAGTCAGTTCCACTGCAACATGACTTGCAGTGCTGAAAAGCAAGAAGTCCTTAATGAGACATGGAACAGGAACTGTTGATGTGTGCATACTTCCAGCTGTCAGGAACCTACTAACAATTATCATAAGGGTTGTCTGTGGCTGTCACCCGGTATGTAAGCCTGGAGGCCATATCTTCATAAACTGCGTTTGGTTCTTTTTGGAAGTATTTCTTGATCTACAAAACAAAGCAGGCAGCCATTCAGGATTTTTTTAAATATTCATTAGGGACTCGAGTCCTTAGGGAACTTTTGACTTTAACTCCTTGCTTGTGCAGTGCATCCAAGACATTCTGTGACACTAATTCCATACGCTGTCTGACATCAATGGGTGCAGGGGATTTCCTGTTAAGGAGTTGCTTAAAGAACCTCAGGCAAACTTTTGACTGTATTTTTTTGGCACAAAAATGTGTGGGACAGTCCCTGCCCCAAAAATTTTACAGTGTAACAACAGACATTACATTAGAGAAGAAGTCACAAAAAGAGTGATGGGAAATGAGCTTAGGAGGATAAGGATATCATGTTTTTATGACTTCATATTCTTTTAAAGTCCGTATAAAATATTTGGCTTTGCTAGCAGGGATTATTCTTATTTGCCAATTCTAAAGTATATCAAGAATTTGAGTAGAGGCATACTTACATTGACACGTGGCAAGATGCAGCCAACTAGGGAAATCAAGGTCAACCCCAAGGAGACAACAAGGACATAGGGCACCCAGGAAGCCAGCCTACAATCAGCACTCTTCATTTGTGTGTGACACGCACCTGAGGAGTCAATATGATAACTTCATTGTGAGAAACATTTTGCGTAGCTCTTCTGATCCAGGAAACTAAAAGGTCAAAGGTATTTAATCTGAGCAGAGTTACCATTGCCATTCCCTTGGCTCTACTGCAATCATACCTAACTGGTTACTAATGAAGCTATTTGTGTGATTTTCTCTTAAAGGGAAAAAGATGTAGGCATCATTCTTATGATGCTGATTGCCCAGTACAACTATGATCAGGGATCAGTGCTCTGTATGAAGCAATAAGCAATAATTTTACTATAAAATGGAGAACAAGTGTTTAGATGAAGAAACAGAACTCCTGCTGAAAATACCAATTCTTTTCTCAAGAAGGGCAGATTGCTCAGACACATTAGTTCTACAGTTTAAAGATCTACCACACCCTCAGTTTTTTGTCCACTTTGGATTTAAAAGACTTTCCAACATTTAGGTAGTGCTGGAGAGATGTTGTAGACATGATGGTCTTGTCTAAGAGTACTCCAACCCTGCAGTTGCTCCAGTAGAAGACATCACCCACAAAAACCCTTGCCCTTTCCAACATATATTTATTTTTTAGTTAAAGAGGAGAAAGCACAATACCTGTAACCACCACGAGGGTACTCGTTTCTTTCACAATATAGGGACTGGGAGTAAGCACAGCACTAACACATACATATACATCCGTATCATTTTGCTGTAGCCCTTGCAGAGTTATTGTCCTGTTGTGTGGCGGACCCGAGTACTCAATGCGATCGGTGAATGCCGAAGAGATGTCTTCAGTTCCATCATTTGGAATATGAATCACTGTCTTGGGATCTACATATTGTCTCATCAAGTAGACCTCTACATCCTTCTCCTTAGTTTCTGTTGCACACGTTATATTGATGGAGTCTCCTTTCTGGCCACTAATAGGGGCTTCCAACTTTTCAGTAATTTTATTTTGATCTAAAACCGAGAAATTCAAAGACAATTACCTTGATGGAGTTTAGCTAGAAGTAGAGTGACACCCCCCAACCATACAAAAATGACAACTACAAATTTCTAAACATTTACAGCATCCATGAAGCACTGAAGCCAGTAGAGATTCTTTGCAAGGCTTCTGGAATTTAAACAGACTTGCAGGGATGTCTCAGCTCAGCAGCAAGGCCTCTTCAGTGTCCCTCCCCAAAACCTAACATAGGAAGGATGGGCCTGTGACAAAGTCATTTTTGGCTTCAACACCTCTCCCTGGGCTTTCAGTTATATTACAGCCTTAGAGCTTTTCTATACAGAAGTACTTTAGAAAATTAAAACAAATTATGTAAAGCTATGAAGCTAATGTGCTTAGGTTAAGGCATATTAGACTCCTCTCGGATATTCCCATTCACCAGTAAACTAGTCTCAGTTCTGCCTTGGAAAATTAAGCTACTGTGAACTAAGGCAAACGTATATCTGAATGAGATGACCAGTGCATTCACGTAATGCAATTATATTAACAAGGATATGGAAAAGAGACCAAAAAAAGAGATACAGAATTAATTTAGAATATTTAGATAAACTGGCTGTACTCTAGAGTGTATCTGAATACATCAAGTTGGCAGGGGCTGATGAAATACACCCTAGAGTACCTGAGATACAACTAGCTGAAACAATCTCTGAACCATTTGTGATTAGCTTGGAGAACTCATGGAAGACAGTGTAGGTCCCAGAAGAAAGACGACACACATAGTACCTGTTTTTTAAAATGTGGAAACAGTGGAGCGTGGACAGTCAACATAACTTGGATTCCCAGAAACATATTAAAACAAATTGTTAAATAATCAATTGATAAGCACTTGTAGGAAAACAACATGATAAAAAACAGCCAAAATTAAGTAACAAAGTCCAAAATATATCAAACCAAAATAATGTCCTTTGACAGGGTAACTAACCTAATGGATTAGAAAGAAGCTGTAGATATAATATACCTTGACTCTCACAAAGACTTTTGACACTGTGCCACATGACATTCTCATTCATAAATTAGAGAAATACTGTCTGGACTACCATGCAGATGCACAACTCCTTGGACAACAAAAAAAATCTCTAGGGAGTATCATCAGCGTTTGCTCTCAAGGTTCTTCCATGTGCCCAGTCCTAGTCAGTACTTTCATTGATGATGGATATGATAGACTAGAGAGTACCCTTATTAAATCAGTGCATGACACCAGGGCTAGGTACAGACATTCAAAAAGCCCAAAGCAGAATCAATTTAAGTTATGCAGTTTCCTGTAAGTGGCATAGTTTACATTGGTAGCAAACAGAACACACATTTGCCCTTTGGTGTGAGAGGCAGGGGGAAATAGTAAACCAGGGTCAGCCACTTTTAAATCAATCTATGTGTGCCGAACTTCTGTTCTGTTATAGGCATAGACTGATTTCCAATCGCTTATACTAGTAAACGTGTAATGTCTGTACCTGGCCCAAAGTAACAGCAGTTTCAAACACTTTGGAGGACTAGAGCAAAATCTAAAATGATGCTGAAAAACTGGAGAAATAGTCTGAAATCAACAAGATGTAATTTCATAAACAGGCATTTAAATACTACTACTAGATGTGAGAATGGAGAATGAAGAATGGCTGGTGAGGCAACCATTTAGAAAGGGCTTGGAGGTTATAAATCAACAATATGAAGCTGTTTGGAAAAAAAAAATCTCTTGCTAGGACGTATCAACAAGAGTGTTGTATGTTAGCTACAGACAGTAGTTATTCTGGTCTGTGGTATTGAAGACGAGAGAATTGTATCGTTTTGTACATTGCCCATTAAGAAAGCTGTAGACAAGATGGAGAGCTTACAGACAAGCAGCAAAACTTATGAAAGGTTTAGAAAACCTGACTTACATGAGGAAAGACTGAAGGGCTTGATGTCGTTTAGCAAAGACAAGACTAAATGGCAATATGGCAACAGTCTTCTAATGTGTTAATAGCTGTTATGAGAAGGATGCCATGCTTTGTTTCTGACAAATCCGTGTTGGCTGCCTTTTATTATCAGTCTGTAGTTGACTTGCTGGAACTAATTTCTGGTATCAACCAATGATGGTTGGAACCAGGGACAGTATGATAGGGGATGGATCATTCTAGATGTACACTGTTCACGTTCTCCGTCTATAGCATCTATTATTTACTACTGTTGCAACAGGATCCTGGGCTAGATGAATAATTGATCTGACCCATTATGTCACTTTTTAGATTTGATTATCTATGGAAATTGTATTGTACTTCTACTGTTTTTGACAAATACTGTGCTGAAAAGCTTTCAGAATAAACAAGCTGCTGGTATTTTAACCACAATTTCATCTATATCTCCAGAGGGAACCTGTAGTGAAAAGCTTCCAGGTAGGATGCTCTTTTATGAGTGTATGCAGGAACACTCCTTTCAAGAGGTGCTTACATACAAAACACAACACCACCAGAGAGTGTAATAAAGACTAAATGGCGGGGGAGGGGAATGGAGTTATCCCTTTTTAAATTTCCCCCATGATCGTTCCAAGTACCAACAAAAACCCCCGATAATTTAACCATCTGCCAGACTCTCCATTTTGTGCCCATTTTCAAGTTAATTAATTTGTATTTAACTTCAGTTCTTTGTTTCTCATTGAGAATAGAAAAAAAATCAGAGTACCTGTAACTATTACTAAGGTGCCTGTTCCCTTCCAAGTTGGGAAGCTAGCATCATGCATGACACCAAGGCAGTAGTATAAACCTGAATCACTTTGCTGTAGCTGCTGCAGGGTTATTGTCAAGTTTTTTGCTGGTCCTGAGGCCTCAATACGAAGGGTGAAGTTGGAAAAGACTTGTTGATTTCCATCCTTTGAAACATAAGCCACTTTCTCGGCTGCTGCACGACGTCTCATCAAGTAAATCCCTTCTTCTTTATCCTCAGTTTTTAACAAGCAAGTCATCGTGATGGAATCTCCTTCAGGGACACGGATAAAGGCTGGTGACTGTTCAATAATTGCCTTCTTTGCAGCTAAAAAACAGGAAATTCAATTAAATTTATATCCCTGAAGACTTTTTGTCTTCAGTGCCCTTTCAAAGTCGGAATGGCACTTCCCATCCATATAAACCAACAAGCACCATACTCCTAAAAGCTCATAGCCTGCATAAAGTTCTGCAGCTAATACAGATGCTCTGGGAGGCTCCAGAAATTTAGACAGAATTGCAGCTCTGTCTAGGTGCAGCCAGATCTCTTCAGCATAACCCCCACCCTGTGTCCCTCCCCTTCCCGCCTCCCCCACCATTTACCAATTTAGGACTGGGACAGTGCGACTGACTTAAAACCATCTTGGTTATCCCCAGCCTCCATATCTCCATGGCTGCCAGTACTGTGTTATGACCCTACAGCCTGTCTATACAATGATATACTGCAAAGCCAATAGAAATGAACTAAAGTTATGGGGCCAATTTAAGGCAGGTTTACCCCCAGAGACGGATGTTTTCATTCACAGCCAAAGTGGCCTTCCTTCATGAAGTATGAGAGCACCTGTATGGGGATTTAATAGGCTTTAACTTCACAACTTTAGTCAAGTCATATTAACTGTTCTTAGAAAAGCACCAAAGGATCTCCTGTAAATCTCAGATCACTCCCTAATTTGCCCTATTACCTTCCTTTAGTTCACGCCTCATCTCTGTGCCTCAGTTTTTCTACTACAGGCCTATAAATATTTAATAAATAATAACTTGTTTTGCACATTTTCACACTGGCTTTATCTTCTTTGGGGACTGACTGCAGGTCTGTGAACTGTTTTGTTTGACTGGGGACTTTCTTCAATGAATTTCAGCAAAGAATGCAAGATGGTATTCACTTCCACCATCTCAATGCAGTAATGAAGAGACATGTAATTTAGAAATGAAACTGTTAAGCAAAAAAGTAAAAGGCTCTATGGCAGCATAAAAAGTAGGAGGAAAACATAGAAAAGCCCAGTTCTATTATTTAGTAGAGAAGGAAAACAAATAATCAATGAAAGAAAGAAGGCTGAAGTATTAAATCCATTTTTTGATTCAGATTTTAAAAATGAGGTTAATTGTGACTAGGCCTGTGCGAGTCGGCAGCAATCTGCTCTGGCTTCAGATTCATCCACTTTGGATGGCAGCGACCCAATCCAGAGCACCGGACCAGGTTTCCGCCTCCATCCGGCCAAAGCGGCTCCGAAGCTTCAGAACCGCCTCAGAGATCACCATAGGGTATAATGGGGAATCAATGAAATATCTATAACTTTGTTGGTTTTTGTCCAATTTGGATGAAATTTTCAGGGATGGTAGACTCTGCAAAGAGCATAAAGACTGCCACATTTCAAGAAGATCGGTGCAGGGGTTTGGGGGAACTGCTCCTCAAGCTGCGGACAAGCAAAACTCGTGCCCTGGGTGACACTGTGCGTTAAGGCGCAGCAGGGTGACAGCTGCAGGGATGGTGGCCTGTGCTGCGGCCATGATGCCTGCCAGCTGTCGAGGAGATCAGTGCAGGGCTTCTGGGTTCTGGGCCTCTGCACCTCTAGCTGCTGAGGGACACAACTTGTGACATGGGTGCTTGTGGGACTGACAGTCTCCGTCTTGGGGCAGTTGATTGTATGGATTCTTTCTTCTCCTTAGCCTCATTTTGTAGGTGCTAATTGATGGCAATGAACAGGCTACAATAGCTAGGTCCTGTGTATTGAGCTGGTCCCCGAGTGAATCGTGACTGATTGGTAACTGGTAACACGGTAGCTTAGCAGCCAGGCCGGCAGTAGTGTCTCCCACGCCCCAAGACCGAGACAGTCAGTCCCACAAGCACCCGTGGCACGAGTTGTGTCTGTCAGCAGCTAGGGATGCAGGGCCCCAGAACCCCCCTACACTGATCTCCTTGACAGCTGGCAGGCTTCATGGCTGCAGCAGGGGCTACCATCCCTGCAGCTGTCACCCTTCCGGACCTTAAACACACACAGGGTCACCCATGGCACAAGTTTTGCTTGTCTGCAGCTTGAGGTCCAGTTCCCCCCAACGCCCTGCACCAATCTGCTTGAAACTTGGCAGGCTTTGTGGCCTCAGCATAGGCTACTACCCCTACAGTTTTGACCCCCTCATGTTGTAACACGTAGACATGACAGGAGTTTTTCTTTCAAGAATTTGGGGTACAGTTCCCCCAAAACCCCTGCACCGATCTTCTTGAAACTTGGCAGACTTCATGCTCTCTGCAGAGTCTACCATGCATAAACATTTCATCCAAGTTGGACAAAAAACAGAAAAGTTATAGATATTTTATTGTTTCCCCATTATACCCTACGGCCGGATCTCCAAACCAATTCGGGAAGCCTAACGAAGCCAGTGCTTTGACCCAGATATGCTGCTTCAGACCCCGAAGCATCCAAAGGTTCTCCATATCGAAGCTCTGTCCGAAGCCTCGCACAGCCCTAATTGTGACCATATACATAACACAATTATTTTCATTAAGGGAAGAATGCTGCAGGCCAGAAGAGAGAAACAGATTACAGAGTGTTTAGATAATTTGCTGAGGTCAAGTTGGCACTTAAGGAAAAACTTAGTTAAACAGGACACATCTACACATGCTTCTGATTGGATAGTGGTTACTGCGCAGTCCTGGCAGTGCACGGGTCATTTCTGGATGGATGCTCCGAGTCAGTTTTGGATGGGAGGTATCTGTGAAATACTTGTTTTAGGTATTGTGTGAAGTAGTGTTCATTGCTTATGAGTTACATTCTTCTCTCTCTGCCAGTATTAAATAAAATGCTTGCCATATTGCCTTAGGATGTGATTTTTTCTGATAGTGTTTTCTTTCAGATAAGTTGAAAGATCCAGGCAATCTGAATACTTATAGTATCTAACCATCCCATGGTACTTTTCTGAAAGCAGGATGTTAAATCCAAGCCATTGCAATGGGAGTGAATAGACTCTTCCTAACAGAATTTCCTTGGAAGCCTTAATGGGACGTGGCCATTTCTCCACGTCAGAAATGTCTTCATCACAGAACTACTGTGCCAGGCAGCAGTGAACCTAACCATGCCTTGCTGTTGTGCTCCCACTGGAAGCAGGGTAGCTGCATTCCCACAGCACTGCCGGCAAGCTAATCAAAAGCTTAGATTTATACAATCAAGAGTCATCTGGACCAACCACCTATGCAGGAATTCAGGAATGCTACTCCTAAGTCCGCCCTGCCCGATGCTTATTCAGCCTTCTCTTGAAACCATCCAGTGAAGAAGATTCCACAACTTCCCTGGGCAAACTACTATAGGTCCTTGCATACAACACATACCTTTCCACCCAAAACCAGATGATGAAAATTGAGGTGCATATTATATGTGAGAAATAAGGTAAAAGCAGATTCTGTCACATATCATAGAAGACTGGAAAAGAACAATGTTAGGATCAGTCTTTTAAAAGTGGAAAATGGAGGAGACAGGAAATAATAGCCTGAGGAGCCAAGTCATTCTGCTGCTAGGGCTCCCAGGGAAACATGGTGGCAGCAGAGCCATGACAGCATTGCCACCACTCCTCCAACACCATATTTTGGGATGTGGGGAGTCCTCAAACCAGATGACATAGCCCTGTATGTGATCTCTTCAGATATGTGAATAGTATTGTCTGGAGAGGAATACTTAACTTAATCATTACCATTTTGCCCAATCCCAGCCTTATTAAAAAAAAATACAAAAATACATTCTTATCAAATAGTGTAGGTCATACAAACAATAAAATGATAAAACTGAACACACTTTAACATTAGCTACAAACCATACATTATTAAATATCTGTGTATGACACTCCATGAACAAACCAACATTCCTGCTTTTGGGATGGGTTCATGTCTCTGACACTGATTCATTTTTAAGTATCCTTGGTTTATGCTTATTGATTATATATATCCACCTTGCAGTAATTGTATCCAGCCCACATTTTTCCAGTTTGCATACGAGAAGGTCAATGCAAGGAAGTGGTCAGTAAGGCTAACCGCACCTTGTTGTGCATCTACAGATGCATCACAAGCAGGTCCAGGAAGGTGATCGTTCTCTATGCAGCACTGGTCAGGCCGCAGCTGGAGTACTGCATCCAGTTCTGGGCACCGCACTTCAAGAGGCATGTGGCCAGCATTGAAAGGGTCCAGAGGAGCATGGTCAAGGGGCAGTGGGGTAGGCTCTAAGAAGAGAAGCAAGGGGGCCTGAACCTTCAGCCTCCACAAGACAAGGCTGAAGGGGGGGATCTGGTGGCCATTTACAAATTCACTAGGGGGGACCAGCAGGAATTGGTGGAGGCTCTGTTCCCCCAGGCACCACCCGGGGTTACTAGGATTAACAGCCACAAATTGTTAGAGAGATGGTTCAGGCTGGATTACAGGAGACATTACTTTACAGTTAGGGCTGCCAGGCTCTGGAATGAGCTCCCAAGTGAGGTGGTGCTCTCTCCTACCTTGGGGGTCTTCAAGAAGAGGCTGGACAGGTATTTGGCTGGGGTGATATGACCCTGACACCTGTTCCTTCCCAGGGCAGTGGGTCGGACCTGATGATCTGTTTAGGTCCCTTCCAAACCTAAGCACTATGATAAGGTCACACTGCACTTTATCAAAACCTTATTAAATCCAGTACACTGCGTCCAGTGAATTCCTTTCATCCCTTTGATATGATGTCCCACAACATTCTCACAAGCAAGCTAAGGAAGTATGGGTTAGATGAATGGACTGTAAGGTGAATTGAGAACTGGCTGGAACATCAGGCTCAGAGGGTAGTAATAAGTGGTTCAATGTCTAACCAGCAGACAGTATCAAGTGGAGTGCCCCAGGGGTCAGGCCTGGGGCCAGTTTTGTTCAATATCTTCATCAACGACCTGGAAGATGGCATAGATTGCACCCTCAGGAAGTCTGTGGATGATACCAAACTGGGAGGAGGAGTAGATATGCTGGAGGGTAGGCCTAGGATTCAGAGAGACCCAGACAAATTGGAAGATTGGACCAAAAGAAATTTCATGAGGTTCAATAAGGACAAG